TTTTGGTACGAGCATATCGCTTCCTCTGATACAATTTCATTCAGGCCGATAATATCACGTCAGTAATTAGTTTGCAACTCACAATCTGGATGTTCATAAGAATAATATATCACTTGTGTAGCATACTGGCTATTTGAATGAAAGATTTTAATGAATTGGCTGACTAGTCTCCCGAAGGTTTATGTGAAGCCGGTATTGGAGAGAACCGGATAAATTACTCTGGGGATTCTCAGAGGTAATGTTGCGGAGGATTTAAGCTAATCGTAATTGATTGTACTTAAAAAAAGATTACTATTTTGATGATTGAGCAGACGATGGATACTTTTTTAGACAATCTGTATATAATGACTCCTCACTTAGTTCATTGACCTCTGCTATCAATGCGCGTTAACCTGGTCACCGTTGCTCCGATTTACGCTAGATTTCCTGTGAAAAGATAGCTACATCTCGAATTTGAATTCCATCCCAGAAATCCTTAGTCTCGAAAAGCAATGACGCTAAAATAGATGTCTCTGGACAATGCAGATTAGAAGTTTTAGTTTATGTGGAATGCAAGAAAGCACTGATTGAATGCCTCAGTTTTGAGCTTGATAGTGCGAAGATGAGAGCTGCTACACCGGGCAAATTTAAGGTATTGTATTTCCATGCTTCCACCTGAAAAATTTGAGTTATTATTTTCTACTACAATTCGCGTATGTTATTCGAATTAGAAACGGAGTCATCTTAAATAGTAAAAGGTGGTTTAGCGACTAATAGCCTAATTTTATCAATAAGATTAATATGCCTCAAGTTTTCATCTAGCTTGATTTACCCTTGCTTCCAAAAAGGTTTTCTTAACCAAGTTGGACTGCAGTTCTGACTTCCCCTAGGCCTCATCTGTACCCTAAGTTGGATTTGAAATCGGGTCGTGAGTATAGTTACGAGACATCACTACTAATATATAGCCATGAGCGTCAGTGGGTCGCAGAGAAGGAGTAACCTTCAAGGCAAGCCAGATCTCGCCCAAATTACATTTTAATAATGGGATTGTTGATGAAACGAACTATTACTTATCTTTTAGATTGACAATGATATTTATTCTCGATGTTAGGAGCATTAGAAAATATCAGTATTTGTTGAATAAGAGCTTCAACCATTCTTGGTAGCTCAAGCTGGCTTATGGATACATATTTGGATTTTCCCACGATCAAAATTTACTATTTAAGACTTGCTGATAGTCTCGGGGTTACTTTTGTAATGGCAAATACAAGTTTACTTTATTGAAAATTCTGAGTTGGAAGAGATTTGATGTGCCCTTTGACCCACTGGCATCCATGGATATTTAGTGGTGTGGTAATTTTTTGCTAGGAAGAGCGAGACCCGGTTTCGAATCCCGTTAGAGATGAAGTCGAAACCTGGGAAAGGCCTGAATGACAGTTCAGCTTGGAAGAGCAAACCCTTTAAGTGACAAGGCTAGGTGAAATTAATAGTGTCGTAAGATATGCTCATATCATTGTAAGAAAAACCTAACTTACCGTACTTAAAACACTTATGCTCTCTTAAAATTCACATTTGTATTTCGAAATCGCAATGCTTTTTCTATTGAGGAGGTTACTAAAGGCAGTTGTAGTATTTAAACTTATGTGTAAATTTAGATTGTATAAATGTAATTAATTTTGGCTATAATATTCAAAAACGTAATAGCCTGCCAATATTGGATTATAAGACGCAGCTAGTTAAAGAGCTCTACACTGTGGTCCGGCCATGATGCGCAAGAATTTTTGGAAAAAATTGTCAGCAAAATGAAGGGACAGCCTCACGCTTTATTTTCCCCAATTTGCAGCGCCATTAAGGAAGAGTTAGAAATTTTATTTCAATATAAATATATATATATTGGTGGAAATACAGCACCTTAAATTACTCGGTAAAGCGTAATATATATATATAGGAATGAAATTTCTAAATCTTCTGTAGTGGCGTTACCAACTGGTGACCACAAAGCGTGGCGCAGTCGCTTCATTTAACTAAACCTTTTTTTACAAAAGTCTTGCGCATCATGGCTGAACCGCAGTCTAGAACTCCTCTATAACTAGCTGCCACTTTTATCTCACTGTTGGCAGGCTATTATGCTTTTAGATAATATAGCCAAATTCAATTGCCATTTATATAACATAAATTTATGCCTAAGTATAATAATTAGAACTGCCTTTATCAACTGCCTATATATATACATATATATTCATTTTAATTAAATTTATAAGATTTGTACAGTAATTTAGAAGTTGCAAAATTGCATAGAATAAGGCTACTATTAATGCTATGCGGAATTTTCCTCTCATACCCTAAAGGCTCGGCTGAGCGATATGGAACCTGTGGTTTCATCCATCCTGCCCTTCGTCGTCGATAAATTTGAGCTACTTGAAGTGACGACCTCGGGCTTGTTACGTGCCCGCGGAAATGTAATCGCGACTACCCGAGACTCGAAAGCACTGGAGCCTAATGCAAAGAATCGCACAACAGAAGCTCATGTTACCTGGCCAATGTTATTGATCGCTATGTTGACGAGAGTCAGCCTCATGGTGGGCGTCTTCCCGGACACAGGCCCCTCAGCCCAGCAGGCGGAGCAACTACTTATGGAAATCAAAGCCAACATAGAAGCGCAGAACCTTTAAAGTCGAACAACAATATGAAAGTATAATTGCTGTTGATTTTTTGTGTGCTTGCGCATCTGTTTCTGTGTCTCTGCACGCATTAACTATCGCAATCAGGTATCGGGAAGGCACTGACAATATACATGCCAAAATTTAACTGCGTGGCTGATTAATTTATTTTACTTCTGCTTCAATCCAAGTGTCCTACAATTCCAATAAGAGCTAATGTCAATTCGGACTTATATACACAGGTATATTTTTACCACAATGCGATTTAATCATTAATGCTTATTAATTTCTTACAAAAGTATATATATATATGCATACATTTTCTACTTTGGTATTAAGGGATCTCACTAGTTTTTACTCTATCCTGCATGTTCTTTCTTTATAAATGGCTTGTTTAATGAAACTTTCTTGTTACTTAGTGTTCATTCGAAGGAAGCCACATCCAATATTTTTTATGAGAGTGCGGATTTCGCTTAATTAACGAACCAGTCCCTGTTGATGATTAAATTCATTCTATTTAAATCGATTTTCTATTTTTTCCTTCTTAGGTTTCACGAGCTTTAAAATGTCTTTTTGTTCCCCTTTTCATATGCGTCTGTGTTCTGCCCCCTTATTTCTATCGGAATGGGGATTTATCTAATATATTTTGTCAAAGTACCTTTCTGCATTTTTCATATACTAAAGAGGATAATGGAGCCAAGAAAATGCGCACGTTCAAAGTTGTTTGTCTTGATGAAGATATGAAGACAAAGATGTTGTGGCCTCTGTTGTTTGTCTTGGCTTTTGATACAGAATTTGTATAGTAAAAATAAATTTTATGAGGATATTTCCTCGGTAGGAGCAGCGCTTGGGATATAAATGCGCGTAAACTGTTTTAGCTAACTGACGTGTCTTGTTAGTAGCATTGTGGTTATGTCCATTTTGGCTTTTGCCTTTCTATCTCCTTGCTTAGGGTTGTAAAATAATAATCGGCTGGTTGTATCGTGAGAAACATGCTACATATTCTGAACACTTAATGTTAAAAGCAGAGTATCTCTTCTGAGATTTCATCAATTTTCTATTTTTCCTTCTTGTTTCCGTTGCCTTGCACAGAATTTGGCTAGTTGGGAGTAAATCCTAATTTCATATCGCCGGCTATGTGACCTGAATCTACAGAAATTCTATCCTTTTTTCTTTCCACTGGCACATTAGATATAATTTTTTATCTATTTTGATAAATTTTTCACTATAAGCTAGAGCAGGCAAGGCATGAACTAAATTTTGTTGAGTTATTCTG